CATTCGTCATTCCTAAAATTCAACAATTTTTACATACATATTGTAATAACGCAAAACCGGCACAAGAAAAAAAATTTGTACACTTTTATTTACGGTTATTTTTTTTTGTACAACGATAAAAAAAAGGAATTTGTGAAACAGCCGCGAAAAAATCCGATCATATAAATGTATCATATAGACATTACTTAGATTTGATTTACATAGTGCATCGGATTATAATTTTAAATAAGGGAACTAAAGAAGACTCTTCTATATTTTCTTTATCAAAGCTTCGGTATTTGACTTACGATCGTTAAGATTCTTAATGATAGACACGTGGTCACGTGTTAACGAAATGGATCTTCGATAGTTTGATTGTTTGACGTAATAAGCGAACAATGGAGTAAGTGACGAAACTGATTTAAAGTTTAATTGTTTTTGATATATAATGGGTTTGATTTCTAATCAGTACTCTCTTTCTCTTTTTCTTACGAGAATTCAATACTATGACTTTTATCAAAATTACGGGTACAAGGCTACTACTATAAGTCAGGTTTTTATTATACTTTGAACGATTTTTATGTTTAAGGGAAATATTTATTCAGAGAACAACTTCTACTTAAAGGACTTCAAAGTCAAGAACTCATGCGAGTTGCTTTTTATTCAGGCAAAAGATAGGTCTTTAAATACTTTTGACCTCTACTGCGTATATAGGCTGTGCTTTCTATTAAAGCTATACTAATTTGAATTGGCTACAGAAACAAATTTGTATCCGCTTAGACCTTAGGTACAAATTTGTTTCTTCTCAAGCCTTAGATACAATTTCGTATCTGCTTAGACATTTAGATACAATTCCATATCTAGGTAGGACATCTATTTTTAGTAACGTTATTCTACTTTGAAATATTTTAATTTGAGCTATCCTAATAATAATAATAATAATAACATATACATATGTTTTTTTAAAAAAAAAATAATTGTCGTCTTCCGAGCCCTTCACAACATGACCATTGAACTCGGTCCTAAAAGGTTTCTCAAGTCTAGAGTCGACTCAAAAAAGTTTGGTTCAAGTCAACTCAAAAGACTGACTTGAACTGAACTTTTAACATCTCTAGCTGTATCTAATGGACAATATGTAGTTGTGTATCAAAGCGCTGCAGTGCTCAAATTTTGGTTGTTGCTCAATTTCCCAAAAGACATTCCTCGACAGGTCACTTACCCAACATCACATGGGGTTAGAGTCAGCATTCTATTAGTTGCAGGTATTTATTTTTAGCAATTTGTCACCCTGTGTGATGTCGAGTCAGAGAAATAGCTTTTGGGAAATCGTGCCGTAATCCAAATTTTTTCACTTGTCAAACAGCTGTTGAATATATATGTGATGACAGGAAATGGTATTAAAAGAAAAAATCTAAATCCGCATACTATGAAATTACCAATTTAGAAAATAATCTGAATAAATCCATTATTGTCTTAATTTGTTTGATTGAAATTTTGGTTATTGATGCTTCTAAAGTTAAAAAATATAGACGATTTATACCAAAACTGGCTGATGAAATTTTTTATCATTTTCGCTATTACACTTTACGGCTGATTTCATAATTTTTGAAATATTTAAATTTGTTGAATGATTTTTTAGCTAATTTTTGATTAAGGGTATTCTCAAGCATCTCAATCAATCAATTAAATAATAATCATGTACAGTAGCCAACAAAAGTAACGCCTGATTTTACTCAAAATGTAAATTTTTTTTATTAATAAAAATTTAACCGCACATACATAATTTTCTTTTTATTTTTTATTTAATATTTTGATGAATGACCATCTACAGCTGCAATAGCCTCTGTTCTTTGTGTCATTGAGTCTGAAACTGCACGAAGAACTGACGTATCCAAATTTGACCATGCCTCCATTAGGGCCACCTTAAGCACAGGTTTATCACGGGGAAGTCATCACGATTCTGAATATTGTCCTTCACGATCCTCCAAATATTTTCTATGGGGGTTTAGGTCAGGGGATCTTGAAGGCCAACTCATATAATTTATTTTTTTTGATTTTAACCAAGGTTTTTTTTTTATTATCACTATATTTTCATTTTCATGGTTATATAAATATATTTTATGTTTTAGGCACTCGATTGTCTTGAAATATCCAATAATTTTCCCAAACGTAAAAAATGGCTTCGAAGCATTGAATCTAACTTTAAACCTATTCAAAAAATGATGATGGCATTAAAGATTTTGAACGAGCAAAAAAGCTTCCAAAAACTTGGAGCGATCATAACAATAACAAATTTTTACTGGTAACATTTAAAGTTTATATGTGTATTTAAAAAAAAGCTTGATTTAAATGTAAATGCATTTAAGTATTTGAATTGAAAGTAATTCGACTTAGAATTTGTAGTTGTAATTAAGTAAATTCTAATAAAAAATTTCAATAATAATAACAATAATAAATTCGAAAATATCGTGATTTTGTTATTATTATTACTTGGATTGAAATTTTGGGCATGACCAGAACGATCTGATAATCCACGCGCACAATTCACATAGTGCACATAAGATAATATAAAATTTTTTGATAAAAATCCTTTCTATTTAAAAGAATTGTCTAAAGCCGAGTAGTAATTTATATAAGGCACATGATTTTTAATCTATATAGTCAACTTAAAAACTACATGGATTTAGACCTTCATTTTATCTCAAAGAAAGATCAGAAAGGGTTAACATGTAAATTATTATCCATAAATTTTTGCTCATTAGCTCTTCACGTAACTATATATTCTGTTTTGCTTCATTTTTAGCACACTCTATTTCATTTTTGGCATATAGTACAAAACAAAGGCAATGAATATTATTTTAAAAATATAAAATTTAATATTGCATAATCAAATAATTGATTAATTAAATTTTTTGATTAATATATAGTTGATTTTTTACGTTAAATTTCTAAATACATGTAACTTTAAGCAAAAATAGTAAATAAAACTATAAAAAACAAACCACCTATTTTAACAAAATTGTAGTTTGCACAAAAAGCAAAATATTTGTTAAAAACTTAATTTAAATTTGTTTCAAAGTTATCACTTTTATATAAATTATATATTTACTTAATGATATTAATTGAATTATCAAAATAGTTAAACAGATACTTATCTGCAAATTAATGAAATTTATAATTTTTTCATTTTTTACTTTACTTTAACTGAGGTGTTTTTAAAAGTACTAGATCTTTACCCTTTTATCTATTTTATTATTCCTATTCTTATTCTTCTTCGCTATTATTGTCATTACTATTTTCATTGTTAACCTCTTCCTCCTCTTCATTCCTAATAAAAAAAATGAACAATTCGTAAGTTTTCTTGAAAGAATAATATTTTTCACGAATTTTAATTACTTAAATATATCTAAACTTAACCTTTTTGATTTTCACGAAGACTATTTTTAATGCATTTTTAATTAGGGCAATACTTCTTTTTAGCTCAGTCTTTTTTTAAAAAGAAATTATTTTATTAGTAGTCTTTTAATTAAAAAAATAAATTGATTGATACTACCTTTTCTTCTTTTCCTTTAGTACGTAAGTATATTCGAACTGTTTCTTCTTTATGAAATACAGGAAGAAGATAGCTTACATCCTCTTCCATAATATTGAATGGTTCATCGTCAGTTTTGTTATAAAATTCAACATCCTTTACTGGATTTTTATCTTTTTTTCCATAATCGAAACTTATCCAATCGATAATTATGTCGTCATGCTTTATGTATTCACCACATAAGGTTACACCGCTATTGGTAATTTCATCCATAATATCTTCTGTGATATTTTTCTAAAAAAATCCACATTAGCATTATGTGAAGAATTTATAAAAAAATGTCTTAAAACAAATATATATATCTCCAATACTTTCTCACTCTCTTTCTTTGGTTTGGTTAAATATTCGTCTACAAATTTGTATAATTTCCTCTCTTTAATCTGTTTAATGATGCCTTTTGATTTTTCTAATTCCTAAAAATAATTATTTATTAAAATATTGTTAGTGGAATATCAAATTATTGCTACCATTAATAAATAATACAAAAATATGAATTCAAGTACAGTACTTTATCTTCAGAATGTTCAATTTCATGAAAAATAGAATCACTTAATCGTATATATTTTTCAGCATTATTGATCGCATCTTCAAAATCTTTAAAACCATACTTCTTTGCTAAATATTGTTTTGCTCCTTTAAGCACATCACATATCATATGATCAATTGCTCTAACTATAATTAACATTTGTCAGTATTGATAATTACGACCATAAAGATACTGTGCAAATTTTGTTGCGACAACTCACCAATGCGATGTTTATATACTGTTTTGTGTAAAGAATATCTTGTATGAAACAAATCATAAATAAGATAACATTCTTTATGATAGTAAACTATCTTATCATTCTTGACACAAGAAAGCCGCATCAACCGTGAAAAATCAAATGATCGTTTCACTCCTGCATAATAACAGTCTCTTGTGAAGTAATCAAATTTGTCAACATCTATAGAATTACGCTCATTGTTGACAATTTCAAATAGATACTTGGGTATTTGTCTTGTATTTATGTAAAATAATTTGTTATGATTAGAATAAAGCTACATAATCATTATAAAAGAAAATACCCACCTTTTTGTTTGTTGGTCACTTTTACCCCTAATAAGTGCCTCAATAATTTCCACATCCTCATCATGAATTAAACCGATGGAATTCAAATTGATGGAATTTTTTTCAAGAAGGTCTTTAAACATTGTTACGGAGCCATCCTCATGTTTCCATTTTATTCTAATTATATAATAATAAAAAATATATTACGCTGGTATACAATTGTATATACAGTATTTGTTAGTGTTATCCTTAACTTACCCTAGGCAGTCTTGAATAAAGTCACGGTCAAACAGGTGACTATATGGTCCATGTCCTTTATCAATATAAATTATTTAATTAATTGTTTTCAAAAAATGTATTAAGCGAATAACATACCAAGGTCATGACATAAAGCGGCCAAAGTCACACATTTAAGATTGCGATCATCATCATCACTTTTGCCTTTCTGTTCCTGCAATCTTTTGGTTAAAGTATAAGCGAGGTGTGCCGTTCCTGTAATAATTTCCACTATTAAATTATCCTTTCATTTCTATAGTACATGAATAATAAAAAAATCTATTCTATAGTTGCAGAAATCCTCATATCACTTAGTTAACCCTATTATAATGTCATGTCGACATGACTCAAGGCCACAGTTATATAACGTAGTATTCCTGCGACTATTATTTATTCTTACCTAAACTGTGTTCAAAACGAGTGTGAGTCGCACCTGGAAAAATATAAAAAGCGGTTCCTAATTGCTTGATATCACGCAATCTTTGGAATTGTGGTGTATCTATAAATTTTACTGCCCAATCTTCAAATTCCATGTACCCCTATTTAAAAAACATTTATAAGTAAAACTAATGACAGGTTTTTTTAGTTTAAATTATTATGTGAAAATTTACATGGATAGGATCTTTAATTAGCTTTTTTTCGGCCATAGTATTTTGCGAATAATGAGACGAAAGTGCAATAGTTATATATTTGTTAGAGTGTCACACATCATGTGAAACTTTATTGGAATAGCATTTTTCAGTATGTACTTTTATCCATTCTTAGAATTGTTTTTACATCTTATTTGTATGTACGAAGATAAACATTATCATAGAGGAACTTTTCATTTTGAATCAGATGACTTGACTTATTTATACATGTAATACAGATTCTAAAAGAGGGCACAATTGGAGGTTGTACAGTGCATAAAATTTATTATATGAATAGTACGCCAATATCAAATTTATTCGTTAGAGATATACCAAATTTATCATTTATTCAATAGTTATGTGGCGAATAACCTAGTTACACACGGGTTAATATTCCATGACCTTCGGCCATGAGATTAGATATGAACCCGTGTGTAACTGGGTTAGTCAATATGCCCATACAAAAACTATCTCATTGAACGGTGTCTTACGTACTATCCCATGTCAATAAAGTAAATGAAAAAGCACAGGTTGCTACATAAGAAAATATTTAATACTTTATAAACATAAATTGTAGCGGGAGATATTGTCTAGTATAATGGTTGAATTGGAGAGCGAATAAAACAATTATAGACTATAGACCAATTTAACTCCAACCATATACGGGGGAGGATGGAAAGATCTCTCAGGTTTGTTTATACAGTATAATATAGTCGGGGAACTGAAATTGGAAGTGGATCAGTAATCTCAATTATCAAAAGATAATGCAGTGCTTTTCTGTAGAATGGCAATGGTTTGGATTAATCCATGGATATGGTTACGCAATATGCTGATATTGGTGATGCCAAAGGAGACAGGATCTAACGGGAACATTATCATGTGTTCAATTTCCAACAATATAAACAAGATGTCGTTATGCAAGAATTCGAATCTTAACAAACTATAAAATAAAATTAAAATTGTATCTAAGTCTAAAATAATAGTAAATCTAAAATAGTAATCAAACACTCTATAACTAAGCTAAAATTTAATAATTTAATTAAAACTGCTCTTAAAACACTTACTAACTCTAAAAAATCTAGCTATTTTAAAACTTAAAGTTAGTCAATAAATTAAACCATCTATTAGATTCAATCAGTAATACAGTATAAATAGTATGGGGGACTTTCTCATTTTTCGGAAAAACACAGAGATTATTATAAGGTAGTTAACCAATAATAAACTGGCTTTTTAAACACGTGATATCATTTTTGTCAAAACAGATAGATAATCGTTAAACAATCAACGGGCTTTATTCATATATTAAAATTTTCTTCGAAATAAAATAACCCACGTTGTAAAAGAATTCAACTATTAATTCACGCACTAATGGCTAAGCAATTAGTAAGTGAAAGTTACAAGATTTATAGTTCTGCTTTGTGGGTTTACTTATTTCTCACTGTGATACAAATCACGCAAAATTACAAATATTCTTTTTGCTGCAAATTTTGCTTTAACTTTAAAGTTAAGAAGAATAGATTCTATACTAAAATTT